TTTTTGAATTTTATTGTTATTCGTGTTTTTATACTGTATTTTATGCTGCTTTTATAGTTAAGTGTTTTAAATTTGTTGTTAGCCTCCCTGAGCCTAGTTTTTGAACCGGGAAGGGCGGGGTATAAATAAAATTATTTATTATTATATATTTTGACGGCTTCTAGATTCTCTCTCTCCAGAGCAAGCGTACTGGGGAGTGTGGCAATGGACTAGCCTTCCTTCCCTCCTCCCCACCCCCACCAAAGTTGCACAGTGACACCCCCACCCCTCCACATTTCCTCCTAGCTTTGTGGTTTAGTGGAAGGTCTGGCTGTGTTGTTGCAGAAGCACCTGGAGTGACTTGGCTGCTCTGCAGCCCAACAAGCAAGCTCTCCCCACGCTGATTTTTTTGCCAGGCAGCCAAACCAGCAAAAAGGCAGAAGCCTAGCAACCATGATGTGGTGTCCCCCATTTCCAACATTCAAGCATAAAAAACACCCCATATAATGTGAGATGCGCATTCTAAGCTGGTGGGAGGTAGAGAGAGGGGGGGGGAGAGAAGCAAAAGGAGCGCTATAATTCAGTTCTGCTGCTTGTATGACCTGCCAAGCCAGCCGTAAAGTTAACCCGGTGAGAGAGAGAAAAGCTTCTGTTTCTCAGGCAAATGTCACAAGACAGGAAACGCCGCAACTTCAGTATCTGTCACTGTGCTTTCTCGCCGCAGCAGGGACACACACAGCTCAAGAGCCGGCCGTGCCATTTGGCAAACCACTTACCTTGTAGTTCAATGTTTATTGGATTCTCTCATAATGAGAAGGGGCAAAACCCTCAATCTACTTTCCCCAGATTTCAGGTTAAGAATGGACCTCCAGAACGAATTCAGTTCTTAACCCGAGGTAAAGGTAAAGGGACCCCTGACCATTAGGTCCAGTCGCGGACGACTCTGGGGCTGCGGTGCTTTATTGGCCGAGGGAGCCGGGCGTAAAGCTTCCGGGTCATGTGGCCAGCATGACTAAGCCGCTTCTGACGAACCAGAGCAGCGCACGGAAATGCCGTTTACCTTCCCGCCGGAGCGGTACCTATTTATCTACTTGCACTTTGACGTGCTTTCGAATTGCTAGGTTGGCAGGAGCAGGGACCGAGCAACGGGAGCTCACCCCGTCATTGCGGGGATTCGAACTGCCAACCTTCCTGATCAGCAAGTCCTAGGCTCTGTGGTCTAACCCACAGCGCCACCTGCGTCCCTAACCCGAGGTACCACTGTACAATGGTCAAACTTAACACTCTAATACTGACCTACAAAATGCCTCTGATGTTCCCAATGCACCATGTGCTCATTGCTTTCTGCACTTGTTTGTCTTGGAGGAGGTACTGGCGGCAGCGCTACAAATTTGCCAGGCGCATTTTGCACCCGGCTATTGGCCACTTCCAACCGAGTGAAGATGCCCGGGTGCCAGGATGGCATTTGACACCTCTACCCTCTGGAGGTGCATGTCTGGGGATCCCTGGATCTTGCCCTTTTTTTCGCACACACCTTGTGGAATTCTACCTGCGATGCAAGTTTCTCACTGCCTGGCCCCCAGATGGCAACAAGACATTCTGTTTTAGCGGCTGTAACCCTGGTTTCAGGAGCCATTTAGTGCCTATCTGAGTTTCCAACACTGAATTGGTGGCGGTTGTATTTTTGATGTGAACTTTCTTGTTCGCGAAATGTGTTACAGAAATGATCTTAAAAAGCAGGCCAGCCCTGTGCGCAGGTGCACCTTCTTGATCAGGGGTCAGCAAACTTTTTCCACTCTCCCTCAGACCTTGTTGGGGGCCGGACTATATTTTGAAGAAAAAATGAACGAATTCCTATGCCCCACAAATAACCCAGAGATGCATTTTAAATAAAAGGACACATTCTACTCATGTAAAAACACGCTGATCCTGACCATCTGCGGGTCAGATTTAGAAGGCAATTGGGCCGGATCCAGGTTCCGGGCCTTAGTTTGCCTACCCATGTCCTTGCCTGGCTAGTGATGGGGTTCAGCTTCATTTTTTAAAAAAATTCTTTATTGCAAACACATAGATACATCCGTTATACATAAATAAAATGAAAAGAGAAAGAAAAAGGGGGAAAAACAGAAAGAGAATGAAAACAAAAATAGAGCTAACTTCAAAAAACAAATATTTTCAAATTAACTTCTACATAGGGAGTACAAACCTTCTTTACACAGCTTTGGCTTGACTCCTTAATTCGAACCGTGACTTCCCGCTATCCACGAACATACTTAGTAAATCATTTTTTCTCCAGATAACTGTATTTAGTGGTAAATCTTGGAGAAACACTCTGATTGCCAGTGGGATTTAGTCTACGCTAAGCCAAGCGATGCTCTGGAATCCTTCTTTTTCTGTGTAATTTATAGAGACATCCCGGATGCAGCTTCGTTTTGTTCTTCAGCCGGGGCTTGTGCCGAACATTGCCCCCCCAAAAAACAAACCCCCTCCTGTTGCACTAGGCATCCTCTCCTTCCGCTTCTCCTCCCCGCCCGGGGCTGTGTTTATGTGGCTTCCAGCCTGCGTGATTCCTCCCGGTCTCTGCAAAAGTTATTTTGGAGTTGCTTTAGGAAGAGCTGCTTGGCGCTGTTGCTGTTTTTGTGGTCACGGTTGGCGGAGTGGGCGCCTTGCCAGCCAATTGGCGTGACCTTCAATTAAGCGAGAACGCTGGAGGGGGAGCGGGGGGAGGGATTTGGCCGGGGCGCCTGCTTATGTTATGTTCGGAGCTCCCTGTGCTGTTCACGGAAGGAAGTCCAGCTTCTCCAAGGGAACACACACGCCCCGCTCTCGGAAATTCGGTGACATCACTGTAAGGGGTGGGTGCTAACATGCACAAATGTGGGTTGTTCCATTTTAAGCCTCGTGTGCGCCTCTCCTTCTCTGGAGATAAGATAAATAAAACTTCATTCGCATTAGCCAATGGCCATAGCAACAGTAAAACATTACAGTATACGCAGAAAAGGAAATTTGAAAAAAAAGCACAATTTAAAGTCCTGAATCAGCCGTCAGTTAGTGGCCCTTATTCTGATTGCCTCCTATGCACCTAGCAACCTTTGCTGTTATCTGCTCATTTTCATCTGATAGAAGGAAGCACATTGTGGCAGTGGTTGAGCACCCTGGGATGGTTAGTACGAGTGGGCTAATGATCTTGTTCCTCAGGTCTTTGTAGAGAGTACAGGACAGGAGGACGTGTGCCACGGTTTCGGTGCTGCCATCTCCACAGGGGCAAAGACGTTTCTCAGGCAGGATCTTTTGGAATCGACCCTCAAGTGCCGCAGATGGCAAAACATCCAGTCTTGCAAGTGTAAAAGCACGTCTGTATTTTGGGATGGGGCGCAGGTGGCACTGTGGGTTAAACCACAGAGCCTAGGACTTACCGATCAGAAGGTTGGCGGTTCGAATCCCCGTGACAGGGTGAGCTTCCGTTGCTCGGTTCCTGCTCCTGCCAACCTAGCAGTTCGAAAGCACATCAAAGTGCAAGTAGATAAATAGGTACCTCTCCGGCGGGAAGGTAAACGCCGTTTCCGTGCGCTGCTCTGGTTCGCCAGAAGCGGCTTAGTCCTGCTGGCCACATGACCCGGAAGCTGTACGCCGGCTCCCTTGGCCAGTAAAGCGAGATGAGTGCCGCAACCCCAGAGTCGTCCGCGACTGGACCTAATGGTCAGGGGTCCCTTTACCTATTTTGGGATACTAAGTTTGTGCAGATATGGGGCCAGAGAATCAAAATGGAGAGGTGGAAAATGAACATACCAAGGACAGAATTTCCTTATAGTGGCCAGGTTGTTCTGGTGCTTGATATCTTTTAGACGTTGACCAATTAGTCTGTTTGCTTTAGTGGGGCCCATAATGAGTAGGTGTTCTGGGGATAGGCCACAAGAGGGAAGTTTTGGATAGACAGTTTTAAGCCAGGCACTTTTATGGGAGTCTTGAAGTACTAGGGATAGTAAACCGGGGTGATTTGAGTTTAGGCGAAGCCAGAAGTTAAAAGTTCTTTGCCAAGTCAGTACTGAAGGGAGACTTGCCTCCAGTCTCAATGATGCGTTTGGGATGAATGGTGGTACAGAAAAAAATTGCCTTAGAAACTTTGAACAGCTTCCAAAGTGCTAAGGTGCCTTCTCTGGAGGTGGTGCTTGTTTCTAAAGGCAAATGTGGAATCAGATTGTTTGGGTTGCGTGTTGTGGCAGAGACCTGTTCAGAGGAGGCTGTCAAAGCTGGAAGGTCAAGGTTGTGGCGGGGACGGGACATAAAAATAAAGGGATTTTTTGGGGGTGGGGGGAAATCTGCAGAGTGCAAAATCTCCTGAGAACGTAATCCACAGGTAGGCAAACTAAGGCCCGGGGGCCGGATCCGGCCCAATCGCCTTCTCAATCCTGCCCATGGACGGTCCGGGAATCAGCGTATTTTTACATGAGTAGAATGTGTCCTTTTATTTAAAATGCATCTCTGGGTTGTTTGTGGGGCATAGGAATTCGTTCATTCTCCCCCTCCCCAACTATAGTCCGGCCCCCCAAAAGGTCTGAGGCACAGTGGGCCGGCCCCCTGCTGAAAAAGTTTGCTGACCCCTGGGCCTTAATCCCTTTGCCTGTGCTGTTAGCACATCTCAACATATCAATGTTTTGTTGAATTTCTGTTTTGAAGCAATTGATCTGTAAGCTGAAAGGGGGGAACTGGTTGGTTGATAAACCGGAGGATAAATACGCGTTGTGTTATAAACATCATTTGATTTATTTATTTATTTATTTATTTAAAACCCCATAATATAGAAAACATCATCCTTGAGGGCTAGAAAAGTCTTAATTCCAGGAACAGCAGTTTTTCACTTGCATGAAGGCTATTCCTAGGAGCATTCATAGATGACTCCAAGACATCCTTTGCCCAGCAGTGAGCAGCTGTTGCAAGTTCTGTTTAGGGATTTATGCTTGAAGTTGCTCTTCTTGACAATGTGTTGTTTGTTCTTGTGCTTCCTCCTCTCTGTCCTGCAGAAAGTTGTCTGAAAAGGCCGGGATTGACGAGGTCATAGCGGCTGCAGTCCTGACGAGCCTCTCCACCAGCCCGGTTGTGCTTAACAACCCACCCAACGGTTTCAGCGCAGGTATTGCAAAGACGCTGGGAGAAGAGGGGAGGTTGGGCTTTGAGAATGGCAATGCCTGCTTCCTAATATTGTCCCGGATAATTTTACAAGGTGTCTCTCCCCCCTTTGGGTTTCTGCAACATGTCAGGTTTACAGTTTACAGCACATGTATGGCCGACTTTCTCTTGATCCACTGTGCCGTGTCTGCCAAACGATTTATATTTAAAATACTATAGATATAGATACATTCACTGCTTGATTGTAAAACAAACAAACAAACCTACCTTCAAATCAGTTTGCGAAAAAGATAAAACAATAAAATGATAACTAAGAAAAAGTAACAACAGAAGAAAGCTTAAACAGTCTAAAAACACATGAAAATTCGTACCAACTTTCTGAACATCAAGATAAATAAACGGACCCCTGACCATTAGGTCCAGTCGTGGCCGACTCTGGGGTTGCACGCTCATCTCTCTCTATAGGCCAAGGGAGCCGGTGTACAGCTTCTGGGTCATGTGACCAGCATGACTAAGCCGCTTCTGGCGAACCAGAGCAGCGCACAGAAACGCCGTTTACCTTCCCACCAGAGCGGTACCTATTTATCTACTTGCACTTTGACGTGCTTTCGAACTGCTAGGTTGGCAGGAGCAGGGACCGAGCAACGGGAGCTCACCCCGTTGCGGGGATTCGAACCGCCAACCTTCTGATCAGCAAGTCCTAGGCTCTGTGGTTTAACCCACAGCGCTACCCGCATCCCTCTGAACATCTAGATAGCAGGTGCCAAAAAGAGTAGTTAGGGAATCCTAAAGTTTAGGTGCTGCCGCACCAAAAGACTGAGTTGTTATAAATGCACCTGTAACAGTGCCAACTTCAACATAAGTGGGCGCATATGGGCAAGGCGATTTTGTAGGCAAACAAGTTGTCACTTGTTGACACCCATCTGTCTTAAGAGACAATGGAGTTCACCTCTGGGGGTGAAGTCAGATTGCTGCTTTAGCAGCAGCAAAACGACCTCCCTGGAGCGCAAAGCCTGAGCAGTTGCCCTCTTGGCCTTGCTGATGGGGTCCAAAGGAATCGCAACAATACACTACAATGCAAGTTGTCAAACAAGGCTTTGTATACCTTGAACCTAGCCTGGTAGCAAATCGGCTAGCAGGACAGATCTCTGAGTCCAAGTGTTATACGCTGAAAAGGCCTCACTTCTGTCACCAATTGGGCAGCTTCCGTAGCAATTTTTATTTTTTACTCTTTAAGCCACCACAGGAACATTTGGGGTGCCTGGCAGGAAGCCCTGTTCCATGCCAAGCTCTTTTCACCCTTAGCTTAGCCTTGTTCACCAGGGTCTCCGCTTGCATAATAACAATAACAATAATAAATTATTATGTATACCCCGCCCATCTGGCTGGGTTTCCCCAGCCACTCTGGGCAGCTCCCAACAGAATATTAAAAACACGATAAAACATCAAACATTAAAAGATTCCCTAAGCAGGGCTGCCTTCAGATGTCTTCTAAAAGTCTGGTAGTTGTTTTTCTCTTTGACATCTGGTGGGAGGGCGTTCCACAGGGCGGGCGCCACTACCGAGAAGGCCCTCTGCCTGGTTCCCTGTAACTTGGCTTCTCGCAGTGAGGGAACTGCCAAAAGGCCCTCGGGGCTGGACCTCAGCGTCTGGGCAGAACGATGGGGGTGGAGATGCTCCTTCAGGTATACTGAACCGACGCTATTTAGGGCTTTAAAGGTCAGCACCAACACTTTGAATGGTGCTCAGAAACCTACTGGGATGAAGCATGGAAAGAGGTGTGCGTAGCTCTGACTTTTGCATGGTTGGAACAAAACCTGCTTCATAGACTGCCCTGCTGGCTCTTCACTCTGGCCCTGCTGGCATCTGGCCCTCGGAAGGTCCCGCACATGGGGCTGTGGCCCTCGGAATGAAAATCGTTCTGACACCTGATTTGTTTTTGGTGCTCCAAGGTGTTTAGGCATGCTTGGGGTGGTGTGCAGTTCTGACGTTTTTTTCTACCCCGCGGCAGAAACCAACGGTGATGTTTGGAAGGAAGTCCCGGCCATGTCCTCCAGCTGCAGCAGCAGCAGTAACAACAGCGGCGACTGGAGCTGGGACCCTCCCAGTGACCTCTCCACGCCTTCGACGCCGTCTCCACCGCTGTCCACGGAGGCTCCCGCCAGCTTCCTTCCCTCGCTGCAGTCGGAGCTGGAGGAGACCGAGGCGACTCACTTTCTGTTTGGTGACCCCATCCCCAGGAAGAGGAAGGTGAGAGAGTGGGGCAAGGGGGGCATCTTGGGAAAGAATTGTAGAATTGGAAGGGACCCCAAGGGACTACCGTATTTTTTGCTCTATAAGATGCACCCGACCATAAGACGCACCCAGTTTTTAGAGGAGGAAAACGGGGGGGGGGGGGATTTCTGAATCTCAGAAGCCAGAACAACAAAATGGATCACTGCGCAGCGAAAGCAGTGATCCCTCTTGCTGTTCTGGCTTCTGGGATAGCTGCGCAGCCTGCATTCGCTCCATAAGACGCACACACATTTCTCCTTACTTTTTAAGAGGGGAAAAAGTGAGACTTATAGAGCAAAAAATACGGGGGGAAGGAAGGGACCCCAAAGGTCATCCAGTCCAGCCCCCTGCAATGCAGGAATCTCAGCTAAAGAGTTCCTGACGGGTGGTCACCCAACGTCCGCTGAAAGAACTTCAAGGAAGGAGAGTCCACAACCTCCAGAGGGTGACCGTTCCACTGCTGTGAACATCTCTTACTGTCAGGCTTGTTGAGTTCAACCCCCAATGGAAAATAATAAACCTTTGAATCCGTGATTCTACAAGTCTCTGATTGCGGCTGCTTGGTAGCCTTTTTGCCCAAATCTTCCAGGGCTGAACAGGTTTCTAGTCCCCAGGATAAGCCTTGAGACTCCGAGGTAGCCCTCAAAATGGTCCTTTCTCCCATTTCTTACAGAACTCCACCAAGGTGATGTTCAAGTGCTTGTGGAAGAACTGTGGGAAGGTGTTGAGCAGTTCGTCTGGGATGCAGAAACACATCAGGACCATCCACCTGGGGTAGGTTTGGGCACCCTGGTCGGGCCTGGTGGGCCTATTCAGTTGTGGCACCGTGGGCAGGTTGGAATTGCAGTGGGGAGAAATGTTGACATGTTGCATGCTTAAACCCATTTTTGGAAGTGGGAAGATGAAGAGGGAAAAGAGTTATGTGTTTAAAGGTAAAGGGACCCCTGACCATTAGGTCCAGTTGCGGACGACTCTGGGGTTGCGGTGCTCATCTCGCTCTACTGGTCAAGGGAGCCAGCGTTTATCCACAGACAGTTTTTCTGGGTCATGTGGCCAGCATGACTAAGCCACTTCTGGCGAAACCAGAGCAGTGCACGGAAATGCTGTTTACCTTCCTGCCAGAGCGGTACCTATTTATCTACTTGCATTTTGACGTGCTTTCAGACTGCTAGGTGGGCAGGAGCAGGGACCGAGCAACGGGAGCTCACCCCGTCGCGGGCATTTGAACCGCTGACCTTCTGATCGGCAAGCCCTAGGCTCTGTGGGGTCATGAAGAGTCAGACATGACTAAATAACAACAACAAGAAGGAAATCAGCCCTGAGTGCAGTCTTTCTTCACCCCTAATTCCAGTGGTTGCTGCTAGCCCCCCTCCATTTATTTATTTTTTTACTTCTGCCAGGAGGAAAGCTGACCTGGATCAGAGCGACGGGGAGGAAGACTTCTACTACACGGAGCTGGACGTCAACGTGGACTCCTTGACGGACGGCCTGTCCAGCCTGACGCCCGTCTCCCCCACCTCCTCCGTGCCCCCGGCCTTTCCCGCCTTGGAGGAGCTGCAGCCAGCGCCGGGGCCTCCTTCGTTCAGTCCGGACATTTCCGCAGCGCCTCACCTGAGCCAGCCAACGCACATGGCCATCCTCAGCCAATCGGCGCCCACGAGCGTCTGCCACATCCAAGCTGACCATGCATACCAGGTGGGCTCTCCGCATTGGAGCGCTGTCTGGAGCTTGGGGCAGGGGCAAGGAGCCTTTTTCAGCTTGGGGTCCGCATCACCTCATGCGCAACCTTCCGGGGGCCGCTTGGCCAGAGAGGCAAAGCGGGACAGAGCAATGAATAGGACTCTTACCGTTGCACCATAGATTACCGTATTTTTTGCTCTATAAGATGCACCAGACCACAAGACACACCTAGTTTTTGGAGGAGGAAAACAAGAAAAAAAATATTCTGAATCTCAGAAGCCAGAACAGCAAGAGGGATCGCTGCGCAGTGAAAGAAGCAATCCCTCTTGCTGTTCTGGCTTCTGGGATAGCTGTGCAGCCTGCATTCGCTCCATAAGACGCACACACATTTCCCCTTACTTTTTAGGAGGGAAAAAGTGCATCTTATAGAGCGAAAAAGACGGTATATTCCAGCTGTGCAAAAGTCAGAGGCTTCTACGCGTAACACGTCTCTCTATAATGCTTCCAGGCAAGCAGGATTATTTATTGCAATTGTATCTCACCTTTGCTCAAGGCGGCCTACATACTTTTCCCGCGTTTTACCCTCAAAACAACCACCCTGTGAGGTAGGCTAGGCTGGGAGTGAGCGAATGGCCCAAGGCCACCGAGCGAACTTCACAGCTGAGCGGGGATTCAAATCCTGGGCTCCCAGGGTCCTAGCCCAGCACTCTAACCACTAGGCTGACACCACTGGCTGTCAAGGATGCATTAAGCACTCGGACAGGGTGTGGCCCCTGGGGAGGGGAAAGGGCTGCAGAGAGAAATTGGGTGGGGGGGCAGCAATTGGCCCACCCAGGCCGGATGTGCCCTACCTCAGGTTTAGTGGGGGTGGGATATGAATCGCTGGGGGAAATGCTCACCGCATAAGGATGGCTCAGGTTTTCCTGTGTCCCCCCCCCAAACCCTCAAAATTGGTGACCTTTTGTTTCTAAAAACAAAACAAGAAATGCCACTTTGCTTTGATTCTCAGGCGACGGGTCCTGCTGGCGTGCTGGCCGATCTGAAAGCGCCACCCAGTGGAATGGAAATCAGCATATCATGGCAGCAGCCAACCTTTTTTCCACCTCTGCCCCCTGTCCTTTTTAAAAGCCCCCCGGTAAGTAGCCCAGAGGGCCACGCTTGCCTCCTCCCCTCCCCTCTGCCAGTGTTGTGTAGCGGTTAGAGTGTTGTACTATGATGACCTGGGAGATCAGGGTTCGAATCCCCTGCTCAGCCATGAAGCTCTCGCTGGCCGTTGTTACCTCTCAGCCTAACCTACCTCTTAGGGTCGTCGTTGCGATGGGCGGGGGGGGGGGGAACCATGTACACCGCTTTGAACTCCGTAGAAGAACAGGTGGTATATGAAGGTAATAAATATAAATGGATGGCTACCTGTCCTGGATGCTTTAGCTGAGATTCCTGCACGGCTGGGGGTTGGACTAGATGACCCTCGGGTGGCCCTTCCAACCCCACAATTATTTGAAATGAATAAATAAATGTGGCTGCTGGCGACAGAGATCCATTGGTTTAGTCACCGCCCGTCATTGTGGTGGAATCCTGACAAGACAGAAGTACTGTTTTTGGGGGACAGGAGGTGGGTGGGTGTGGGGGACTCCCTGGTCCTGAATGGGGTAACTGTGCCCCTGAAGGACCAGGTGCGCAGCCTGGGAGGCATTCTGGACTCATGGTCCATGGAGGCGCAGGTCAATTCTGTGTCCAGAGCGGCTCTCTACCAGCTCCACCTGGTATGCAGGCTGAGACCCTGCCTGCCCACAGACTGCCTTGCTAGAGTGGTGCATGCTCTAGTTATCTCCCGCTTGGACTACTGCAATGCGCTCTATGTGGGGCTACCTTTGAAGGTGACCCAGAAACTACAACTAATCCAGAATGCGGCAGCTAGACTGGTGACTGGGAGTGGCCTCTGAGACCACATAACACCGGTCTTGAAAACCTACATTGGCTTCCAGAACGTTTCCGAGCACAATTCAAAGTGTTGGTGTTGACCTTTAAAGCCCTAAATGGCCTCGGCCCAGTATACCTGAAGGAGCGTCTCCACCCCCATCGTTCAGCCCGGACGCTGAGGTCCAGCTCCGAGGGCCTTCTGGCAGTTCCCTCATTGTGAGAAGCCAAGTAACAAGGAACCAGGCAGAGGGCCTTCTTGGTAGTGGCACCCGCCCTGTGGAACGTCCTCCCACCAGATGTCAAAGACTTTTAGAAGACATCTGAAGGCAGCCCTGTTTAGGGAAGCTTTTAATGTTTTCTACATTACTGTATTTTAATATTTTGTTGGAAGCCGCCCAGAGTGGCTGGGGAAACCCAGCCAGATGGGCGGGGTATAAATAATAAATTATTGCTATTATTATTATCATTGCCTCTAATTAAGATGCCTCTCGTTGGTGGTGGGTGGGTGGGTATGTCTTTGGCAACAGAAGATGCAGCTGTCCCATGTTGGTCTCTGAACATAAGACGAGCGCTGCAGGATGGGGCCAATGGCCCATCTAATCTGGCATCCTCTTCTCACAGTGGCCGACCACAGGCCTGTGGGAAAGCTGCAAGCAGGATTCGAACACAAGCCCTCTCCAGTGGTTTCCAGCAACTTGTATTCAGAAGCATTGCTCTCTCTGACTGTTGAGGCAGAGTATAGCTATCAGGACTAGCAGCCTTGATAGCTGTCTCCTCCTCTGCTGCTGCTGTCAACCACCCCCAGGGGCCAGAGTTGTATCGCTGCTGCTCCGATTGCTGCACAGTTAGGGCACGATGCACAAAAGTAATATTTTTTCTCCTTTCCCCACCCAGGGCTGCCTAACCCCTATCCGGCCTGCTGACATAGGAGAAAAGCGCCCACAGGTCCCTCCTGTGCCCGCTGCCAAGGGGCACCCATCAGTGCCCTCTTCCATGCCAAAGCCTGCCACGGGCACAAGGTGAGTTGGCCAGCTGGTGCTCTTGCTTACGCCTCCATCCACGGTTTGGTGTCTCTGTTTTGAAAATAGAATGGAAATTTGCATCTCTCCCCCTTAGCCTCTTAAAAGGTTTTGGTTTTCACACTCGTCTGTTCGGGCTCTGCCTGTGCCTCAAGAAACTCATTTTAAAATCTAGGGTGGGGGTGAATTTAAGGGGAAAGGAGTTGTTTCTCGCATACTGTACATTGAAACTTGCAGGTGTGCCTCTGGAGTAGAATGAGCACCATTTGACACTTGAGGTGCTTCCAGAGAGAGAAAGTTGAGCTATGCCCAACTGAAGTCTGTTCTGCTTTAAGCTGCCTGTGAAATAGCAACTTTCCTTCCAGGCTTGGAGGACCCACATAAGCTCCTGTAGGCAGTCCACTTTTTCCTATCCCCAAATGTGGTGGTGATGGTGGGGTCTTCATTGGGGCTATGGGGTGGGAGGAAAGGGTTAAATCCTTCTGGACACCCACCCATGCCAACCCCTCTCACTCCATCCTGCATTTGTGACCATGCACCCCGTGATGCAGTTTGGGTGTGTGTGAAAAGAAACTTGCAATAAAAGCAGCGCTGTTTGGAAAGTGAAGGGTTAAAGTGATGGAGTCGATTCCTAGAGAGAGGAAACAGGCCACTTGCCATCTTCAGCTGGCGAAAGTGCTCAGCTGTTCCATTATGTGTTTTTTTTAAACTAGAGAGAGTCGCTGGTGGGGGAAAGGTCTGATTTTCTGCGTTCTGGAGAAAACCAGAAGGCAAAACAGGAGAGGAGCATGCTTTGCTTGCAGATGTCCTGTAAAATAAAATTTAAAAAGTGAACAAAGCCAGTCTCTTCCACTGTAGATGTCCCTTGTAGAAGCAGCCTTGAATGCTTTTCGGTTTTGCTTCTTGGATAGATAGATCTATAAGGATTACATCTCACCTTGGCCAAACAGAAGCACATTCTCTTCTCTGATATGTCCCACCACCTGCCTCTCCCTGCTTGCCCTGGGATGGAGAGGGGTTGGGTATGCACAGGCCAGCCAATCTGTCCATCTAGCTACAACAGCCTCAGCCCAGTATACCTGAAGGAGCATCTCCACCCCCATTGTTCTGTCCGGACTCTGAGGTCCAGCTCTGAGGGCCTTCTGGCGGTTCCCTCCCTGCGAGAAGCGAGGTTACAGGGAAACAGGCAGAGGGCCTTCTCGGTGGTGGCACTCGCCCTGTGGAACGCCCTTCCATCAGATGTCAAGGAAATAAGCAGCTATCTGATTTTTAGAAGACATCTGAAGGCAGCCCTGTTTAGGGAAGTTTTTAATGTTTGAAGTTTTATTCTTTTTTCAATGTTCTGTTGAAAGCTGCCCAGAGTGGCTGGGGGAACCCAGTCAGATGGATGGGGTAGAAATAATAATAATATATATTGGAGTGTGGCCTTCCTGCATCACTTGCTAATTGATCCTTCCTCTAAGCTGAAGTTGCCTGGGGTCGATCCTGGGATCTCCTACCTTAGAGAAGTGGGCGTTTTGCCAAGGCTCGACCTCTCCTTCTTCCTGTGCTCTGAACTTGCGGCCGTCTGACCTAACTTATGGTCTGTGTGTGTAGTTTGGGAGCTGCACAGTCAGGGAAAAAGCAATGCTGTCCTGGGTTGTAAAGACTGCAGAGAGAATAACTGGGTGCACTCTTCCCACCTTGGATTAAATCTATGCTTCTAGGTGCCATAAGAAAGCTGCAGAGATAGCGCAGGATAGTGCGCACCCCGGAAATGATCTCTTTCAGCTTCTGCCTTCTGGAAGAAGCTACAGGGTTATAAAGACTAGGACTAGCCGCCTGAGAAACAGTTTCTATCCAAATGTGATTTTGGTTTTAAACGCAGTGTAAGGTAGTCTCTATGGGAGTAAAGGTAAAGGGATCCCTGGCCGTTAGGTCCAGTCGTGTCCGACTCTGGGGTTGCAGCGCTCATCTCGCTTTATTGGCCGAAGGAGCCGGCGTACAGCTTCTGGGTCATGTGGCCAGCATGACTAAGCTGCTTCTGGCGAACCAGAGCAGCGCACGGAAACGCCGTTTACCTTCCCGCCAGAGCGGTACCTATTTATTTACTTGCACTTTGACGTGCTTTTGAACTGCTAGGTTGGCAGGAGCAGGGACCGAGCAATGGGAGCTCACCCCATCGCGGGGATTCGAACTGATGACCTTCTGATCGGCAAGTCCTAGGCTCTGTGGTTTAACTCACAGCGCCGGAGTATATTGTATTTAATTATGGGTGTATCAGATTTTTTAGGGGGCTAACCAGGCTGGGATAGCAGGCTTGTTGGGTTTGAATGTCTGATGTCAGTTTTTTCAATTTCGTTGTTCTGTGTGGGACAATGACAATAAAGATTATTGTATCGTATTGACCTGTCTGCACAGGGAGCTCCTCCTCTCTCCCTCTTCCTCAACGGCCTTTTCTGCTCTGCCTCTTTGCAGGAAGCCACGCGGCGAGGCCAAGAAGTGCCGCAAGGTGTACGGGATGGAGAACCGCAACATGTGGTGCACGGCCTGTCGCTGGAAGAAGGCCTGCCAGCGGTTTGTCGACTGAGCCGAGTCCCCCTGCGGCCCAGCTCCGGGGAGGCCGCCCGCCCGCCTGGGCTCTTCCCCCTCCTCGTCGCGCGATTTGCACTTCTGTGCCTTCCTGCCTGACCTCCCTGGCCGTCCGCCCGCCTTCCTGGCAGCACCTCCCTCTCCCCGCCCCCCGGCCCCCACCCAAGGTGGGGACTCACATCTGTGCCTTGGCTCAGGAAGAAAGGAGAGTCTGCTGCGGACGGTGGCAGTGTAGCTTTGCAAGGAAGGAGCCCCTGCCTTTCCCAAGCTGTGCACGGCCCAGGCAGGCCCTCTCGACCCCCACAATAGGAACACTGTGGTGCTTTCCCCCCCTAACCTTTTTGTAAAAAAAATACCTGCCACCAATCTTTCTTGGCCAAATGGCAGCTTTTTCCACATCCGCACATGTGAAGATCGAGCCTTTTTTTCTGTTGAGGGGGTGTTTCTGTTTGAAATAAGCTATTTCTTTTCCTTCCCCCCCCCCCCGTATCCTTGCCTCCTCCCCCTTTGTAGCCTTAAGGTCCAGGGTGGGGAGCCTGTAGCCTCCCAGAAGATGCTCAGCTGCAGCTCCCAGCATCCCTGGCTGGGGCTGATGGGAGTTGGAGTCCAGCAGGCCTTGGAGAGGGTCCCCCACCCCTGCTTTCTAGGGTTTGAGGCGGGGGGGGGGGCAGCCAGCAGTTCCCCGTGAGAAGGCTGCCGAACCCAAAGAGCCAATTCGAGTCAGGCCGAGCCAATGGTATCTCTTCCTGCCCTCAGCGGAAAGGAGAACAAGTTTTTATCCCATGGCTAACGGAGAACACAGACTTTTGCACCTGGGCTGTCCTCCTCTTCTCCTTGTAGATTTTCTGTTTCATTATTTTGCTTCGGTGAATCAGGCCTTCGACAGAAAGGAAAATGCCCCCGTCTCCAGCACCTTCAGCTATTTTCACGTATCGGTTGCAACACAATTTTCAGAAACAGAAAGGTGTTTTTGTCTAGGTTTTGAAGGTAGCGAGTCTAATCTAGGACTCGGATGCAGTTGCCCCGGGGTGTGTGTGTGTGTGTGTGTGTGAATCTGTAGGGTGTCCTTGGAGCCTGAGAAGTTTTATCTCCTCGTCTTCATTCACTACCCGCCTTCTCTCTTCCACCTCTACCCTCCAAGACAAGGAGAAGAAGGCTGTATTACAAGAAACGTCCGGACTTTTGCAACCTGGCTTAAGAATGGTCCCACGGTGGATTTGAATACGTTGGTCTCTTGCAAGAAATAAGCTATGCACGGGAAAAGGCAGCCTGCTCTCCCCCCCCCCTCCACAAGAGCCGGAATGAATTTGCATTACTAGTTACTCTGACCACACAAAGGAACACTTCAACTTCCTTACGTGCAATCCCAGACTCTCTCGAATTTTGTGTTTGCCGGCAGGAAATCAGGAAATGGATCTGCGGCAGGTTTTGACTTGGGTGCCGGTTGTGGGTGGCAAAGTTGAAATTTCAGTGACAAGACTCGCAACTCCCTCCCACCCGACAATTCTGGCTCAAATTTGAATTTTGGAATCAGGATTTTCTGAGTTTTGTATTCGGAGGAAACTTGCCAAATGTCGAACATTGAGGTTTCATTTTGGTCTGTTTTTCCATCTCCCTTCCACCTTCTGAACTGCTGCGGCTTATTTTTGGGGGGAGTAATTGCCATTTTGTAGCTGTTCTTGGGGTGGGGTGGGGTCTGAACCAAGCAGTGATGAGCTTGCTTGCACTTAAATGCACCAGATGCCAGAATGATGTGCTTTAAATGGAATTAGTCCAATGCACCTTTGTCACTGGACACACAGCGCAAAGGCATTGCTTTTCCAGAGAACTCTACGCAACCTCCCCAGCCCTCCCACCTCAAGCAGTTTCTTGGGTCTCTCTTTCATTTGGGTGGGGAGGGGTCGTTCCTGTGCAGTGGAAGTCCGCATTGCAGCTGTTTCCTAAACCTTTTTTTAATTTGGGAAAGTGAACATTGATTTTTATTTTTCCTCAAGTATCGCACCTGTAAAACATGTTGATATTCTTACCCAAATTCCATCCACCTCCATAAATATTTAGCTAGGCTGTTAGAAATTTTTTTTCCTTTTTTGTTTTTTTGTTTTAGGAGCCAGCCAGGTCTTTATAACCAAACTAATCCCGTTAAGGTTTTCAATGTTTCGCCCTTCGTTTTTTTAAATTATTATTATTTTTGTGCCACACTTCAACCCCTGAGATGTTTCTTGTAGCTAAAATAGCTACTTGTCTGAAAGACAGATCTTGTAAAGTTGGGTAGCTATTAATGGGAATCCATGGTCCTCAGATAAAATCTGCTTTTAGCCAAAATGTACCCAGAGGGAACCGCGCTGAAACGACAAGCAGCGGCAGGAGTGCGTCTCCATTCTTGCGCCGCTGCCTTATTTCAGCGGCATTTGCACATGTGTTGCACATTTCCAGGGTGCCTGCGCCTGTCGTCCTCATGCTTTGAAAATGAGGGCGATCAGCTTTGGGAACCAGACTGCCGGGAAATGCCTCATTCGATCGCCACTCTTTGCACTACACCAAACTGCACAAGGATTTGAGGTTTTTTTGGGGGTATGATGTTCTTTAAGAAATCAAATGGTAGCAAAGTTTGAATTTTTAAGGCCTGCAAATACACAAGGTGAAGGTTAGGTGGGGAGGTTATCCTGTTAACTTTCCAAAAGTCTGGCTTCCATTTTTGTAGAGGGAATGAACCTCACTCCCCAACCTGCAGCTTTCTCCCTCCCTCTCACTTTAAGCAAAACTGCACTGGCTAGTGAGAGAGGTAGTTTTTCCTCTCTCCCCGCCCCCCATTTTTTAAAAAAGCTTTGCTGTGCAGTCTCTTGCCTGCAGTGGAACGGACAAAGTCCTCCCGAGTCGGCCACAATTGTTGTTAACTGTTGGAAGATAATCAGCCCTTTCCCCATCACCCCTATTCAAAGTGGCCTTTTCTAGACGAAGGCTGCGGTCCTTTGTGTGCTTATGTAGCAGAACGCCCTCTTGAGGGACTTGCTTCTGAGTAAGCAGTCAGATTGTGCTGCATGGCAAGCAACTGTGTGTGTGTGTGTGTGTGTGTGTGTGTGTTCAGGAAGCTTTATTTTATATATAAATATATATAAAAGCAGCTTTGGAATCTGTTAAAAAGTTCAGATTATTTTATTGTATGAAATCTCGGGTGCCCCCATCTTGGAGACCTTCGAGCGGCAGCTCTCCATTGAATGTAGACTTACTTCTGAGTAAGCGTGGGTAGGATTGCGCTCCAAGGGTCTGAGACTTGCTTGGAAGCACTTGCAGGTGAACCCAGCTGAAGTGAATGGGACTTACCTCTGAGTAAACATGGCTAGAACATGAGACCAACCATAGATGTTCAAGAGAGGCACATGGAACAGCTGTTCCTGGACTGTACCATTCTAAGAGTATAAATTGGAGGTGTTGCTGGTACCTCGCTAAGATATATATATATATATTATCCATGCACATGGGAAGTTTTAAAAGCATGGCAGAGTAAATGCGAAGTTAGAATCTTCCTCACGTGCTTGTTTTATATAGCCAGGGAATTTTCTAACCTGGAACAGCAGCAATTTCCACGGTCTGCAGTAGCAACCCACTATAAGTGCCAGCAGAAGACTGAGAACAATCCTAGTCACATGACTTGGCTTGTCAAGGGATGAGCCCCCACCCTTCTCGGTTAAATAGACTGCCACCTTGTGGCTGGAGGTCAAGTGGTACTTTGGACCCCAATGACACTTGCCCTAGAGCAGGCTTCCTCAAACTTGGCCCTCCAGATGTTTTTTGGCCTACAACTCCCATGATCCCTAGCTAGCAGGACCAGTGGTCAGGGATGATAGGAGTTGTAGTCTCAAAACATCTGGAGGGCCAGGTTTGAGGAAGCCTGCCCTAGAGCAACCTTTTTCAATGTTGGGTCTCCAGATGTTGGACTGGAACTCCCCATCATCCCTGCCTTCTGGTCCTGCTAGGTAGGAATGATGGGAGTTGTAGTCCAGCAACGTAGCGTAGGGGGACCGAACGTTGAGAAAGGCTGCCTAGAACGTTGCCAAAGGCAAGGAAGTGACACAAAGGATCTGGTGTATACGCCATGCCCTCTAGGTCTCAGAAGCTGCAAAGTGGGCTGCGGGATTTGAATCTTTCCGGTAGAATCGGGGCTTTTGAGGATTCAGATCTGCCTTCCTCTGAGAGGGGCATCTTTCCTCTCTGGCCAGCCCTGTGTATTTCCTGACATTTAAAATGCAAACCAAAACTGGATTGAAGCCAGAATGTGCTTTAAATCTGTTGGCTGCCAAGGGGAGAAGTAGACGAGACTGCCCCTTGCAAGCATTTATTTGCTACCTGAAGATCAAGCAGCTGCGTCAGGCACAGAAGTAAAGGGAAGATTTCTTTTTTTAAGTTGGCAACCTTACTTCATTTTCTTCCTCCCCGCCCCACTTATTTAAACCAGCAAGCCTCTGCTTTAACTTCAAATGGCAAAAGAAAATATTAAAAGAGTATTGACAGCCTAAGAGCCTAGTTTCTTATGGTATTGGGTTAAATCGGTGGTTTCCTTGCAGTTGTTCTTGCTGCAAGAAACCAGCTGAGATGAGGGCTTATCTGCACTTCCTCTCCCCCGGTTGCTCCCCCCCCCAAAAAAAAACCGCTCTCTAGTATTCAATTGAGCAAACTGCAATTGGGTTTTCTGCAGTTTGCTGTTGGCTGTGTTTTTCCCAGGAAAAGGAGCAGGACAGTGGTGGAAACGGCTCAGAACGGTGCTTCCTAGGCATTGGAGAAGCTCAAGTGTAGACAAGCCCTGACACAGTTGCATGAAATTTGCATAGGATAGTTAATATGTATAGGAGCACAGACATGTTGACTTTCAGATTGGGGGATAGATAGGAGTCCCGTGGTCAGAATCAAAAGGCTCAGGCCTCCTGGGCCACCCCATCTTAACAACACCCCTGGAGGGAGGGCTTTTTGTCCTCAGAAATTTCAGCAGAAGCAAAACACTTTCGAAACGCAGCCGAGACGCCTCGAGCACCCAGTGGCTGTTTGCACTTCAACTGGGATGTTCACAGTTTGAAATCTTACCTTAAATATTTATCGGTGGCATTTTAGCCCCGTGCTAAAATGCCATTGCTTCTAAATCACCGTAAGCCTTAAAAAAAAAGAGATAGAAAAACTCGTGCAAGCAAAAAAAAGTGGGGTGGGAGAGATCAGTAGTTGCCCTTTTCTTAAGTAAAATTTGCAGTGCCCAGCGGTGATATCCAGCTAACGTTGCATCTGTGCAAAGATTTAAACTTGTGCACTAGACTGCCCTCCTCTACGCCCCTCCGGCACACGATCCTAAATTTTCTCTGGGTGGTTGGTGGTGGGGAACCCAGAGCATATTTAGGAGAGAGCATTGGGTGGGGGGAATATTGCACTAGTTGAAATCTGTGTGCTGATGGAACGAGTTCCTTAGTTCTACTTTGTATACACCCCCTGGGCTGCAGGCAGTTGGAGAAGGCAGTCAGACACGCTGGGAGAATAATCTCTGGTTCTTGGCACTGATGTGACCAACTATCATATTCCCAAGTCGGGCTTGTTGCCATGTATTAGATCACTTTCAAGAGAGTTTGCACAAATCTCAAGCCCCATTTTTTTTGCAGTAAGTGGCCAATATTTGTTGGATCTTGACAATGCCAGATACAGTTGGTGAAGCTCCGTAAATACCTGTTTCCTCACTTGAATTCCCAGAATTAGGTTCTGCCCTGTTCATATCTTTTGGACCTTTTAACATTTGAGTGGGATTATAGCCATTAACTAAATCCTCAAACATGCAGTGTTTAAGGGTGGTCAGATAAAACAGAATAAAAGGGTCTTGGGGGAGTAGGTTGGGGGAAATACCAGGTTTTTGACTGGCATCCTATCTGTTAAAAACTCCCTGCAGGTAAAAAGCTAGCACAGCATAGAGCAGAGCTGCGAGAGATCCCTTCTCAATGTGCTGAATTTCTACTTCCAGGGAGTTGGTTTACGATGGGGTGCATTCAACTCCGGTTTCTACAAGCTGCGGCTGCTGCTTGTGTAGGCTAAGTCTAGCATCCATCCAGGGCTTTTATGATTCTGTAAATGCCATTTTAATGGCCAGACTGGTCTGGCCAAGTCTGTGCCAGCCAGAAATGCCCTCTTCTTACTGCTCAAGAGCTGTTGGGCTAGATATTAGGTCCTTAGTGGGGAGACGAGGAGGGTGGCTGGTAGTTTCCAAATGGAGGTCAATACAGATCTTGCAGTGCCCCTACCCTCCTTTTTGTGAGGGACTGGCTTATTTGAGGAAAGGTTGCTATTCCACAACCTGCCTGAACAGTTTCTTTGCCATTAGCAACTGCAAGCAGCAGTGAATGCATGTAAAAATTCCCCAGCATAAAGATGCTTTTAACTTGATTCATATTTATGGCCTTGTCTGTTCTCTACATTGCTTTGAATATCAATCTAGCAAAGCAAAACAACACATTGAAGAAAAAAGGGGGACAGCTCACTGTTGACAGGTGCAACAAAATTGGGTCAAATTGCCGGCTGGGCCAGTGGAATGTGGAACATGCCTGGTTCTGGGAATCATCCCTGGCAGGGCTAGACTGTAAATGAGGATTGGACAGTGTGTCAACTTGATCATAATCTCAGATCAGAAGCAGCCGGCTTCAGAAGAAGTTTGTGGGTGTTAGGCGTTATTGCTGTATTCTGCTTTTCAGAGAATGGCCAGAAGGTGAGGAACTGATTTTGCCACAATATCCCAAAACCTCCTTGGAGGCTGCAAGATTAAATTGGCACTTCCTTTTTGTAGCTGGGGCATCTGCAGTTAGGGAGAGTGTGTAGTTTTGACATTGAATGTATCTTCCCCATGTTTTGATGACTGGTTTGTTTAGGGCCACAGGCAGACAAATCCTTTTCTAGATCAGTGATCTCCCACCTGTGACACACAACTCAGCTGGGAGAGCTATGGCGCTATTAGCAAAACACAAACACTTCTTTTTGTGTGTGTATAAAAATAGCAAGCTAAAACATTCCTAAGTGATGCCACAGCAAGAAATGTATTTTGAAAAGCTTTTTTTTTTTTTAAGGAGAAAAAAACAAGAGAAGAGGAAGAAACCAAACTAGGATTTTTGTTTTGCTACGGTTGGAAGAATATTTACACAGCCCAGAATGCGACAAACAGTTCTCTTCTTTCCGTGCCCCCCCTTTAAGGAACCTTTTATTTCAGGATGTTAGAAGTGTGGAGGTGGCGCTTCTTGTACTGACTGTGTGTTTGCGTGTATGTCTGTATGTGTGTGCTGTGCTGTGCTCAGGTGACCTTTGGTATCAGAG